TGCTCAAAGTTACAAGGTAGTAATAAGCAGAGTTGGGACTCATACCTAGGTTGCTTAATTCCATCACTCTGTCTCACATATCCCTGATTTCCCTTCATCTAATTCTGGCAGCTAGGTGGCGCAGTGGATAGAGTGCTGGGCCCATACTCAGGAAGACCTGAATTCAAACCCAGCTTCTGACATTCTTTAGCTTTGTGACTCTGGGCAAATCACTTAACCTCTGTTTGCCTCAGTTTTCTTAACCTTAAAATGGGGATAATAATACCACCTACCTCCTGGGGTTTTTGAGACGATCAAATGAGATAATATTTCTAAAGTGTTTTAACACAGTGCCTGGTACATAATAGGCACTTAATAAATGTTTAACTCCTTCCTTTCCCCTTCCCCTTGCTCCAGCCAGCAGATCTTTTCAATGTTCTTTGGCCATTTTCATATCCATACTCTATTCTATCCCATACCATATGGTGAGTGCTCTTTCCTTTATTTTAAGCTAATTTTCATGTTTAAAAGTCAAAGAGAGGCTGCAAGAATCACTAAATATGATGCGTAACATTCTTTCTTCCTCACTAAAAATTAAAAATAGCAGAAAAACTAATATTGGACATTATTCTATTTTGGGTTCCTTGAGGGCTGAGCTAAGCAATTACACAGTTTTTTTTTAGCTTATTTTATTGTCACTTCTTTTGAACTTATCAGTAGGATAGCTAGAGAGTTGTATAAAAAAGAAAAAGCAAAAAAAAATCCCATTGGGATACTATTAAATAATCTTAAATGTCATAAAAGAATCCAGGTTCTTGACCAAATCCCATTAACATTGAAATGATCTAATTAATTAGACTTTGATTCAAATACCAACTCTGACACTCTCTTTGTGACCCTGAAAAAGTCACTCAACCTCTCTATTAAGCAAACTGAGTGCCCGATTTTCTGGGCAATTCTCTAAGACCATAATTTGCAAGAAAAAGGCACACCTTTCATCACTAGAGGGATTTTACTCAGTTGGGAATTTCCTACATCAATGAAATGAAAGGTCCAGTCTCTATCCTTATACAAATACATACATCATGTTGTTTTTTAGATTACATGATATAAACATACTCAGTTTCAAATGTTCAGCTAGCGTTCCCTTAGATGAAATAATATACCTTTCTTTCCTCTAAGTTCCTCTCACTTCCTATATCTCTTGAAGGTTTTCACCTTGTTTATTCTTTCTACTTGAAACACAAGCTAGTCAGAGCCCCTGATCCCTCACCCACTGCCCCAGTCAGTGTTTGTATGTGTGTGTCAGAACCACTGATTCCTCATTCACTGCCCCAGTCAATGTGCGTGTGTGTGGGTGTGGATTTGGAAGTGATAGTTGAGCTTTAGTCTTAGCTCAGAGACAACTCTCCACTTCTCCATGCCTGAGTTTTCTCATTGGTTAAAGGAGCAAGAGAATATGATTCATTTAGCATTTTGAGCATCTTGGGGGGAAAAAAAGGGTGAGATATCCAGAAAGTGGCAGAATTATGTCTACTTACCATTCAGGTGTTGAAAGCTTCAGGTCTGTCTTTATCTCCTCTTTGTATCACTTGCCTTTTGTTGTCATCCTAACAATGCAAGGAGTCCAGAAAGCAGCAGCAGGCTCTTTCTTCTCTTCTGTTCAGCATTGTATCAGTAAAGATTGTTTCCAGGAGTTTGCTGATCCCTTTTCACCTTGGCAGACCCCAGTACTGCCATGGTTGGCATTCCATGTCCCTTTTAGCCATTCCTCTGCTTAGTTCTCACTCTCCTTGTTCATAAGTATCCACAAATAATGATGGGGTTTGGATAGAACTCTCAGTTCCCAATAACCACTTGGCTGCAGACACCAGCATATTTTCAGCTTCCAAATACCTCCTAACTACTCCACTGAGATCTTTAACCTTTGCTGGACTAACTTTTACAACCTGGTACTCCCTGGGACTTCTGTTAGCATCCTCTCCCAGAGGCCACAGACATTTTGTGGTTTTTGTGATCTCAAATCCTTTTAAGATATGGCTCCACTCTTGTCTCCCTGGGGCATTTAGCAGCTTGGACCACCCCGTTGCCAATCAATAGATGCTCTTCTGGACTTTTTCCTCTTTTGCCTCTCCAGCAGAATATATTCATCCATGGTCCAGTTTTACTGTAGCATTGGCTTCCTATTGCTAATTGAAAAATCCTCAGAAGAACTTTTCATCTTTGTTTTTTTCTTGATGTCTTTACTTCCATCTTCTCCTTCTTTCTGGCTCATCCAGCATTTTGTTCAAGTATATATATATATATATATATATATATATATATATATATATATATATATATATATATATATATATATATATATGTATATATATATATATACATATGTATATAGCTTCTTATCAGTCCAATCCTGTAATCTTATTGTCATGGCTCCCACATATTTCCAGCAGACCAAGGTTTTCCAAAGGCTACCTATGCTAATGCATAGTTAAGACAACAGACACCCCCATGCAAGTGGTGCCAACTGGAAGGAAACTTCAGACATTTGGTCCAAACATTTTGCTCATCATTGCCCATTCCTTTACCCCTCAAGCAGAAGGGGTGAGTGCAGGACAGATCTCTCCTTCTTGTAAGGTTCATGCTCCGGAGCACCTTCGGGTGGGTGCAGGACTTGGACTCTGCACCCTGGATGGAACCCTCCCCTCTCTGAAGCAGCTGCCACTTTGCAGATCTCTTCATGTGTCATAATCATAGGTGCTCATAGATTCCTGAAGCAGTTGGGATGCTTTGGAGCTCCTCTTTAAGATGAAAGCTTTCAAGTCAAACAATCTCATGCCTTGGTTTTGAAAAGCCTTGGGACCATTTCACTCAGAATCGAGTCATTTCCCACCCTTTAATTGTCTTGGGGGAGAAACAGAGAGATAGCAATTCCATCTTGACCACAGCTGCCCTTTGTATTCCTGTTTGTCTTTCATCTGAAGAGTATGCCAACAATCAGTGCTAATAACACTGACCTGTGTGGAGAGAGAACCTTTAACTCAGGGATCTGTTAACAACATGAGGCTAACATCATGAATTCTCATTTGCCATGGAGACGGGCAACATGCAAGAAGCACAGTTATATATTGTAAACCTGGCAGAAATCTAAAATTGAAATAGAAGTGCCTATGAAGTAAAACAGGTGTGTGGCAACCAGAGACACAGATACTGTCTAGTCAAGAAATATTTTTCCTAAATTTCTAAATCCCAAGATCTAAATACCTTGTATTTTATCTTGTTTGCATGTTGTCTGTCTCGTTAGACTGGGAGTTTCTTGAAGGCAGGGACTGTGTTTTTGCTTTTCCTTATATTCTCAGCACCTAGCAAAGTAGGTGCTGAATAAGTGCTTGTTGACTTGACTTTGATCCCAGAATTTGAGAGCTAGAAAGGAATCTGGTTCAATCTGGTACTTATAAGGAATCCTCACCAAAAATTCTTGTTAAATGGGTCCTATCACCCTCTGCAATGACTTTAGATGCCTTCAGTCTCCTGCCCTGATTGACTTCTTGGGAACCCTAGCTACTTTCAAGGCTTGCTTAGGTGTCACTTTCTACATGAAGCCTTTGCTGTTTTCCCAATTGTCGCCCCCCCCATTCTTTGTATTTATTTTTATCTATACTTTGCTTCTGAATATCTGTGTTCACATTATATTTCCCCCTTCCCCCAGCAAAGCATAAGCTCCCTGAGGCCAGGAACTCCTTAACTTGGGTCTTTGTATTTCCTGTGCCTTGGAGATAGAAGTCTCTTAATAAAGGCTTATTGAAAAAATTCTATTTCTTTCCTCAGTTTCCCTTTCCCTGGTAAGGTCCTTACATTCAAACAGACTAATTGCTTAGCCTGGATATTGCTTTGACCTTTTTTCTCCCTCCTCTTTTTTCTAGGACATTACACTTACCTGGACTGTTTCCACATCTTACATTCACCAAGTTGCTTTTCATCCCCTATTTCAAAATGAATGTGTTACAATCAAACCATGGCTAGATTTAGAGTCAGGGAACCTGAGATAGAATCCCAGCTTCACACCTTACTATTTGTGATGATGGGCAAGTTACAACATATCTGGGTCTCAGTTTCCTCCTTTTTAAAATGAGGACATTGTCCTTGATGACCTTGGAGCAACAATCGATAAATCCTTACTAAGATCCTAATATTTCCCAGGTGCTCTGCTAGGTACTAGAGATACAAAGACAAAAAATAAATAACCCCTGAATTCAAGAAGTTCACATTCTGTGAGTCTTCTCTGGCCTTAACTCCATGAATCTAAAATGCTATGAACTCAGATCTCATGTCTTCTTAGTGCCCCAACTTACTTTCCAGAACCTACTTTTAAATGACTTGATTCCTCCAATACCAGTGTTTTTAAATGTTTACAGAGGAAGCCTTAAGGGTTTTAAATTCTCACCAGTGCACTATGGTCTTCTTCACATTCACTTTAAATAAGTCAACATATGCATGCTCATGGAATACGGTGGCATGTGTTTTAGTGCTCAAGTCTCTTAAGACCCTAGATCTAATATTGCTTTGAAAAACAATTGGGACAAAAGGCCATCACTGCCACTTCAATGCAAATTCGTTTCCCCTTCCAAGTGACACAAATGGAATGCCACCTGAATGACAACACCCACTTAATGAGGGCAAGTATTTGGGTATGAGAGTATTTTCTCTTTGAAGATGTACCACAAAACTCTTATTTCATGGGTGTACAGCACAATGGAGGAGTCCTGACTTAGCAAGAAGCTCAAGTAAAGTCTTTTTATGAGGTGAGGGACTCTTCTGAGGAAGGTAAAGAACAGACTGATGGGAAGGGTTTTTCAAAATCAGTGAAGAAGTAAAAAGAAAAAAGACATTGCATACTCTGTCCACACCCACTGCTGGGGAACTATAAAGATTCCTTGGTAAACAGAGGTTCCATAACCCCACTGGCTCTGGAGAAGAGGCTTCTGCGCCCAACCAAATAGCCAAACACCCTACTCAGCATCATGCCTTACAACTGTTGCCTGCCCAATTTTAGCTGCCGCACCAGCTGCTCCTCCAGGCCCTGCCTGCCTCCCAGCTGCCATAGCTGCACCCTCCCCGGGGCCTGCAACATCCCCGCCAATGTGGGCACCTGCGGCTGGTTCTGTGAAGGCTCCTTCAATGGCAAGGAGAAGGAGACCATGCAGTTCCTGAATGACCGCCTGGCCAACTACCTGGAGAAGGTGCGGCAGCTGGAAAGGGAGAATGCCGAGCTGGAGGGTAGGATCCGAGAGTGGTGCCAAGAGCAAGTGCCCTATGTGTGCCCAGACTACCAGTCCTATTTCAGGATCATTGAGGAGCTCCAGCAGAAGGTAAAGACAGGCAGCTTAAAATATGGTGGTTAAGATGAAGGCATTTTGTAAATCTTTTAGTCTATGTCTAAGACGTTGTTTATTGATTTCATAATGCGGAAATTGGAACAATGTCCAGCCTTACTTCTTAGCCATTTACAACCGAAAGATTTTTTTTAAATTAAGATTGCATCTATATTTTTAGATCTTGCTCACTGTGTACCTTTTCATTCCAAAGATCCTGTGCACCAAGGCAGAGAATGCCAGGCTAGTTGTCCAGATTGACAATGCCAAACTGGCTGCTGATGATTTCAGAACCAAGTGAGTTGATCAGAAGGGGGCCCTTGTCTTTCCTCTTTCACATTTAGTTAGTGGACACAGATGCCTTACTTATCAGATGGCAAACCAGGGATGCTCTTGCCTAGTGTGAAGGGACTGAATAATGTCCCCAAAGGTTGGGATCCCACCTTCTAGGCTAGACAGATGAAACTAAATGCATTGAAAAAAATCCTGGTTCAGAATTAACATTTTGACATATTGACTAACAAAGGATCTTGAGTATTCTCTGCCTTTTCTGCATAATTTGCACAAAGAGGGAAATGTTTAACTCTTGTGTATTTTGGTAACAACTGTATCCTGTGGTCATAGGTATGAGACTGAATTGTCCCTGCGACAGCTGGTAGAATCTGATATCAATAGCCTACGCAAGATCTTAGATGAGCTGACCCTCTGCAAGTCAGACCTGGAGGCTCAGGTGGAATCCCTGAAGGAAGAGCTGATCTGTCTCAAGAGGAATCATGAGGAGGTTAGTATTATTATGCAGAACCAAAGAAGGCTGGTTATACCTCATTGCAAAGAGTGGGATTAGGGATAAGGAGGGGAAAGGGCTTGCTTTTAAATAAGGTGAATGAATAAATTAAAAGTCCCAAGGAGCTTCCCCATTTGGCAGCAGACAGTCATGAAAGATTATATAGTTTTAGTTTTCTGTGGGAGTTTATATAGTTATAGTTTTCTGTGAGACTCAAGCATTTTGGTGATGTTGGCAAGCTCATTTCCATTCCCAAATGTGGTGCTGATGACTCTTACAGAAGCTTCTTTAAGTCTTAACCATCCAGTTTCTGAGAGGAGAGATAGAATAATCTCTTTTCAACATGATTCTGGGACATGCAAAGGACAGATTGGTAGGTTCTTTGATCCAATCTATAAATTGACTTCAGTCAATAATTATCAATGTATTCATGTGCCAGGCTCTGTGAAAGATACTGGGGATACAAGGGAAAAAAAGAAACTTCTTCTACCTTCCAGGAGCTTATTGGGAGAGAAAGCATACTTATGAAAAAATATATACAAGATAGACACAAGTAAAGAGATAAATTGAATTTAGTAGCATTCAAGAAATAAAAACCCTAGCAGCTATAGGAACTCATCACCATTCGAAGCATAAGGACAATGTAATGGCCATAAGGATTCCAACGTGCAGAAATGAACCATAAGCTTCTCTTAGCTACTCTGTATTTGCCTGGTTCTGTTATCTACTGTAAAACGTGTCGGCAGACAGCAGTTTCCAAGAATGGAGGCCTTTTTTCAGAGACAAACCTTTACTGAGCATGTTTGCCCTAATGATTTCTATGTCCACAGGAAGTCAACATTTTGCGTTGCCAGATCGGAGATCGTCTAAATGTGGAGGTGGATGCTGCCCCAAATGTGGACCTCAACAGGGTGCTGAATGAGACCCGGTGTCAGTATGAGACCCTGGTGGAGAACAACCGCAGAGATGTGGAGGAATGGTTCACCACTCAGGTGAGGGTCTTGCTCATGGCAACTTCAGAACATGAGGATTCCTGGGGCCTTGATGATCATGCTCTCACCTCTTGGCTCTCCCCTTGGACATTTCAGACAGAGGAACTCAACAAGCAGGTGGTGTCCAGCTCTGAGCAGCTACAGAACTGCCAGGCCGAAATCATCGAGTTGAGACGCACTGTTAATGCCCTGGAGATTGAACTGCAGGCCCAGCATAACCTGGTGGGTTCTCTTTGGGCCCTATCTCAGTCTATTGCTTTAAGCCTAACTGGAAGAATTTAAAAGTGTGATAGAGAAAGGGAGAAAACCCGAATCCTTTTATATTTATCACATGTCCTTTAATATTTACAAATGCTAAGAAGTGATGATGGGTGAAGCATTCTTGGGATTTAGAAAACCTTGAAAACTATCTCTCCCTCTGACTTTCTTTCTCTTCTCCATGGCAGAGAGATTCTCTGGAAAATACCCTGACAGAGACTGAGGCCCGTTACAGCTCTCAGCTATCCCAGGTACAGTGCATGATCACTAATGTTGAAGACCAGCTGGCTGAGATCCGCGGTGACCTGGAGAGGCAGAACCAAGAATACCAAGTGCTCCTGGATGTCCGGGCCCGTCTTGAGTGTGAGATCTCTACGTACCGGGGTCTGCTGGAGAGTGAAGACTGCAAGTAAGTACTGGCCAAGCATCATATGTGTGTGCATGGAAACATATGCAAACATATTGTTCAATTGAATTGCAATGAAATCTCTGGTTTAAGAGTGCATTTCCCAGATAAGAATCACCCCAGCATAACTCAGTAGGAGCAATACTATTTTCATTGGAGAATATAAAATAATCAGTGGCAAGGATGTCCCTGAAGTCACCTGGCTTGTGCTCTCCAAGTCTACTCTTATGACTTTTGCTTTTCCTAATGAAGCCAAGGAGCCAGGCTTGAGATGAGGAGGAATTTGGCAAAGCGCTCTATATGTGCCAAAGGGGGGGCTTTTTCTGTGTGGATGGAGGTTGGACTTTCCTAGCAGGCCCACAAATTGACTTTACTAAGTAGCAGTGGAAAGGCTGCTAGCCAAGCTTCCATCTTTGTTTTCCATAAGACATGTTGTGCAGGGTACTTGTACCACTTCATCAGACTGGTTTACATTTTCTCATTTCTGGACTGATTCCCCCCATAGGAACTCACCTCTGCTGTTTTTTATCTTCCCAGGCTTCCCTGCAACCCTTGTGCTACAACCAATGCCTGCGGAAAACCCATCGGTCCCTGCCCAGTCACGAATCCTTGTGTCCCATGTGCTCCCTGTGCCCCCTGCATACCCTGTGTCCCTCGTTCACGCTGTGGTCCCTGCACCTCCTTTGTGCGCTAAAGGTGTCATAGCAAGGAGGTGAAAGGAGGAAAAGATCAAGTGCTTCTAACCATCCCAGAAACCTGTTCACATCAATGGGATGCTGGGAGTTGGGGAGGAAACACATTGAAAATATATACACCCTTAAAGTGGACCATTCAGAGCTACTCCCAAAGGTACTGGCTTTCCAGAGACGTGGAAACTCAAGTATGATCTTTTGCCCTCTTTTTAAAAATTAGGTTTGCTGCCCTTCCCACTGCTTTAGAATCTTTCCAAAAACACAAGAGGCACTACTCTGTAACTTCCTAATAAACTGACTTTCTTTTGGCAAAGCAAACATGTTTCTCATTGCTATTCATTTACTGCAATCTGGTCATCATTTGAGTACTCCATAAAAAGCCACTTGAAAACCGGTCATTACATGGTTCCACCCTCAGATGCCAAAGTCTTGCTATAGCTGAGTCACTATATTAGTCAGTACAGTGTAAAACTGACCACACGCCACACAGTGGGTTTTGATTCCTGAAAGGCAATTCCTCTTGTCTTCAGCCTCCTTTTGATTGGTTTATCCAAGAGAGAAGTTGTAGAGAAACTTGGGAAATAGAATCCAAAAGGCTAGAGCTAGAGCCTTAGACTTTAGAATGTTAGACCACAGAATGTGAGAGGTCGCAGAAACCTTGGAAATCCTCTAGTCTTTAACCTTTTTTTTGTGTGTCCTGGAACCCCCTGTCAATTTGCTGAAGACTACACCACTCTGACTGCCATAGATAGCTGTTTGGAATAATAAATAATGTTAAGAGACATGAACTGGTATTTGTAAAGGTTTCTTCTAAGATCATTGGCTATGAATGTGAATATTTTTGGCCAGGTCTTTTCAGCTGGGTGTAGGCAGTGTTTGTCTTGATTGGTTATAGCCCTGTAGAGCCAAGGGAGTTTTTCAGCCTGTTTGCCTTGTGCCAGCTCCATTTTGACTAACACGGGAATGGATAAGTCTAGCTTTTTCAATCACACTCTAGCTATTTAATTCTCTAGTTTGACATGGAGCTTCCCCCAGATCAAGAAACTCTTGATTCTGACATTCTAGCTTTCTCCACAGCCCTAAAGAGCTGCTGTGGGCTATACAATGGACACAAAGCTGTTACACATATTATGGAACAACAGCCTGGGGTTGCTGGTGGGAACAGGACTTTGGGAAGAACTGGCTAAGACAAAGTCCTGGGTCAAAGAGCATCAGCTGTGGTTGTTGGTGTCAGCTGATTCCACTCCTTAGGCCTGAAGTTGGGCTGGTCTAGCCTTTCCTAAGAAATAATATCTTTTTCTAATTCTAATGGAAAATCTATAGGAGGGATCTTGATTGGTGGGAAATTACAATAGATCTTTTTTTCCTTCTTTCAGCGAAGGGGTTTTTCTGTTCATTCAACAAATATTAAGCACCTATCATGAACAAGGAAACATGCTAGACATTGTGGATGCAATGGCAAAACAACAACAAAAAATTATGCCAAATGAGGAATTTGTATTCTACTAAATACGTAGAGGGAATTTGTGGAGGAAAAGAGCACTAACAACTAGGGGGATCAGGTCAGGAAAGGCTTCCAAACATCTAGGTTGATAAGGATTCTGAGAGGTGGAGGAAAGGAGTGAGTGCTTTCTAGGCATGAGGAAATAGACTCCGAAAAGGAATGGAGGGGTGAGATGGAATGTTGAGTTTGGGCAATAGCAAATTCTTTAAAGATGCTTGGAATAGAGATAATTTAAGTTGGCATGAGTATAATGTGACTTCTAAATAATATATCCACTATTTGTCTTATAATTTTAAAATAAATATCTTTTATTTTTATAATATGTTCATTTTTGGATATACACTTTCTCCCAACACAGTGATCCTTCCTTTGTAACAAAGATTAAAAAAAAAAAGGAAAAAGAAAAAAAAAAGCCAGTAAAACCAACCAACACATTAGTTGTGTCTGATATTACATGAAATATTCTATATACACACTCTTCCACTTCTCAAAATAAGGGAAGGAGATACATTTTCTCTACTCATCTCTGGGGCCAAGCTTGGTTATTATAGTTTCATAGCATTCAATTTTGTTTTATTATTTTTTTCCCATTTACATTGTTGTAGTCATTATGTATGTTGTCTTCCTGGTTCTGCTTGATTCACTTTGCATTTAAAACTTCTTGTGTTTTCTGAATTCTTAATTTTTGTCCTTTCCTATGATGCAATGATATTTCATTGCATTCATTTACTATGATTTGTTTAGCCATTCTCTAGTCAGTGGAAATCTCCATTGTTCCATTTTTTTGCTACCACAAAAGTGGTATGCTTACATTCATGTTGCTGAAAGAAGAGAATCACACAACTCTTCTGACTGGGTCCATTACAAATTTATGTTATACAATCTGACTGGGCACTTACTGATGCAAGGCAATACTACTATACCACTCTAATCAATTCACTATCCCATTCTCCGTAGTGACTCTTCAAAACATTTTCATCCTTCCTCAAACTTCCCCCTCACCTAACTCTCTCAGCATGAAACCTTGCCTCATATTTTGTGAAAAAAAATTGAGACCATTTGCTGTGTACTCCCCTTTTTTCTCTCTTCCTCATTTCTTAAAATTCAGATGCCTTCCTCCACTCTCTCCTCCTTCACCCCTTTCTCACAGCATGAAATCTCCTTACTCCTTACCAAGGCTAATCTCTCTACCTTTTCAAGTGATGCCATTCCATTCCATTTTCTCCAATAGATTGTCCCATCTGGCATCCCCACTTTTTCTCTCATTTTCATGTCTCATCTCCCTCTCTACTAGCTCCTTTCCTACTGCCTACAACTATGCCCATGTCTCCCCCATCCTGAAAAAATCTTCGCTTGATCTTTCTGTTCCTGTGAAATACCATCCTATTTCTCTCCTGCCCTTTGTAGCTAAACTCCTGGAAAAGACCTAGATGCCTTCATTTTCTCTCCTCCCACTCTCTTCTTAACCCCTTACAGTCTGGTTTCTGACTTTATCATTACACTAAACTGCTCTCTCCAAAGTTACTGATGATCTAGTTGCCAAGTCCAATGACTTTTTCTCAGTCCTCATTCTCCTCGACCTCTCTGCCGCCTTTGACACTGTTGATCACTCTTTTCTTTTTGATATTCTCTTTTCTCTAGGTTTTCAAAGATACCGCTTCTGGTTTTGCTCCTACCTATCTGACCACCCCTTTTCTATCACCTTTGTTAGATTCTCTTTCAGATCACACCCTCTAACTGTAGGCTCTGTCCTGGGCCCTTTTCTCTTCTCCCTCTGTACTACTTCGATTAGTGATCTCATCAGCTCCCGTGAATTTAATTACCATCTTTACTCTGACAATTCTCAAATCTACCATTCCTGTCCCAATCTCTCTGCTAACTTTTAATCTCACATCTCCAATTACCTTTCAGTCATTTTGAAATGGACATACAATAGACATCTTAAACTCAATATATCCAAAACAGAACTCATAATCTTTCTCCTTAAACCAGTGGTGAGAACCTGCATCCTTAAAGCCACATGTGGCCTTCTAGGTCTGTAACTATGGCCTTTTGACTGAATCTAAATTTTACAGAACAAAGATTTGTTCTGTAAAATTACTTGTTGTGTAAATTTTGGATTCAGTCAAAAGGTCACACTTAAGGGCCTAGAAAGCCACATGTGACCTTAAGGATGCGGATTCCCCACTCCTGCCTTAAACCCTCTCCCATGCCTAATTCCCCTTTCACTGTAGAGGGCAACACCATCCTCTCAGTCCCTCGGGCTCACAACCTGGGAGTCGTCCTGGACTCCTCACTATCTCTCACCCCTCGTAGTCAAGCTGTTGCCAAGGACTCTCAATTTCAGCTTTGCCACATCTCTCATATATGTTCCCTTCTCTCCTCTGACATTGTCACTACTCTAGGGCAGGCCTTCATCACCTCATGCGTTGATTGTTGCAGTAGCTTGTTTGTGGGTTTGCCTATCTCAAGTCTCTATTCCAACATATTCTCCATTCAGCCCCTGAAGTGATTTTTCCTAAAACACAGGTCAGATCATGTCATCCCCCTATTCATTAAATTCCAGTGGCTTCCTATTGCTTCCAAGATCAAATACAAAATTCTGTTTGGCATTCAAAGCCCTTTACAACTTTACCTCTCCTACCTTTCTAGTCTTCTTATATCTTACTCCCCAACATGTACTTCTTAATCCAGTGACACTGGTCTCCTGGCTGTTCCATAAACAAGACACTCCATCTCTTGGCTCCAGGCATTTTCTTTGGTCATTTCCCATACCTGGAGTGCCTTCCTTCCTCTGATCCTCCTTAGTTTTCTTTAAGTCCCAACTAAAATCTTATCTTCTGCAGGAAGCTTTCTCTAACCCCTTTTAATTCCAGTGCTTTCCCTCATTTAATTCTTATTCCCCCTTTTATTTTTTATTTATCCCATATATAGCTTGCTTTGTATATATTTTTTTTTGCATGCTGTCTTCCCCATTGGATTGTAAGCTCCTTGAGGACAGGGACTGTTCTTGCCTTTTTCTGTATCCTCAATTCTTAGTACAGTGCTTGACACATAGTAAGTGCTAAATAAATATTTATTGAATTGAATATTAATATTTTGATGAATATAGGAACTTTGTTTCTTTGACTTCCCTGGGAAACATGCCAGGAGTGAAATCTCTGAGCTAAAGGGAATGGACATTTTAGTCCCTATATTAGCATAATTCCCAATGGTTAGACCTTGAGGCTGCAGGTTCCCCACCCCTGAATTAGACCAATTCACAGCTCAACGATAGTGCATTGGTGTGCTTGTCACACTGCAGCCTTTCCAACAGTGACTGTTTTCATTGTCATCTCTGACAATTTTCAGGGTGATTAGGTGAAACTTCAAGCTATTTTGATTTGTATTTTTTTATTATTAGTTATTTGGAGCAATCTTACATAACTCACTATTAAGAATTTACAATTCTTCTTTTGATAACTGTTCATAAGCATTGACTACTCACTCAGTTGAGGA